TTTCTTTCCTCAAGTTCATTACAATAATTCTCTTGCTCTTGAGGAGTTAAAATTGCATACTTTATGTACTAGGAGACATCGCCTTGATGCTCTCTTTCTTATTCAAGTTTATTTTGGCTCTAAATTCTGCCCTTCTGTCCTGGAAATTGTTGGTCTCCGAGTTCCTGCTCGGTATATCAGAGATTTTGCATTGTTCAATGTTTGCTCCTTATTTAAAAATTGTCCCTCTGCTAGATGCGCAGCAGCTGCTAATGTTGTCTGCAGGGATGTTGACGTATTCGGAGCCAGGAATGTTCTACCCAAACAAATTTTAAATATAGTATAACTGTTAGTATTTTTATTATTTGCATGTCCAGTAAAGCAAAATGAATTACGTATATTATTATTATTCTCTGAAAATCTATACTATTCATTTCTTAATTAAATATTTATGTTTCATTACTCAATTCGTAATAACACTTAGTTTAATGATAATGAAATTATTATTACTGTCATAATTATCAGCTATTTGTTTGTTTACTTTTACTTTTATTCATTATAATTTCTTCCAAGTACTTACCTGCAAGTTGTATTTGACTTTTAATAAGTTTGTCTATAATGTAATTCATTCATCTGCACTGCTGTGTCTGTAATTGGCCTTGCGGCTGTTGACTCGGCACATTAATAATAAAGAGTTGAATTAAATCATCGTTTTGAAACGTAAAGGTAAAGTAGTTGTCTCCTTGCTTAACTAATTAAGCACTACGCCATGTAAGTGTATGGGAAGTGGATGTATAGATCCATATTTTGTCCTCGGCAGTAGCTGAAGGTGAGTGGTCAGCTTCAAGCCTCTGCCGCTTTACCCCCGGGAAAAGAGTCCCCGGTATACATTGGATAGGGGATTGGGTCGGCCCCAGAACCGGTCTGTACGACGTGGAGAAGAGAAAATTCTTGAACCTACCGGGACTCGAACTCCAAGCTCTCGGTCGTTTAGTCCGTAGACAGTTACTATACCGGCTACTCTATCCCGACTCCTATTAATCATCTTTATTATTGTCGTTTAAATTAAGCTCCTTCGGATTCTCTGATGCTTATGTTAGCTGGTTTCGCAGTTACTTAGCCAACAGACAATCTCGGGTTTGCGTTTCTGGCACTCTCTCCCTGCCTTTTCACGTAACGTCCGATGTGCCGCAAGGCTCTGTTCTGGGGCCTTTTCTTTTCAGCGTATCCATAAATGACCTATGCAACTCTTTAAACTATTCTATACTTCTAATTTTTGCCGATGATCTCGAAATTTTCCGCATCATTAACTCTCCACATGATTGCCTCTTACTTCAAACTCATATTAATTCCGTAAGTGACTGGTGCACTAACACCATGAAACTTAATATTGCTAAAACGCGTGTTGTATCATACACCAGAAGAACAAATTTTCTGAGCTACGAGTATCAGCTTTGTCATGCTATCATTACACACACCACAAGTATTAAGGACCTGGAGGTTTTCTTTAATTAAAAGCTACATTTTCACACATATTTTAATTGCATATGTTCAGAATGCATAAAGCTTTTAGGCCTTATTCGCTCCATTACCTACAGGTTTTCCTCCCTGGAGTGTCTGTATGTACAATACTTTACTTTAGTCAGGTCCAAGTTGGAATATGCCTCAGCAGTTTGGAACTCCATCACCTCGACTGATGCCAATAAGCTGGACCAGAGCATCCAGCAGAGGTTTGCGTCCGTCTGTTTTTATCGTTTTTCCCTCACATTTAATATACTCGTACTTATACTGATGCTTTAGAGAAATTAAGTCTACAATTTTTACATAAACGGAGACATCACCTTGAAGCACTTTTTCTTGTTCAGGTCTTTCGTGGTCTCAAATCCTGCGCTTTTCTTTTGGAAAATGTTAGCCTTCGTGTTCCTCCCAGCAGTCTTAGGGACTTCTCATTGGTTGGTGTCCGTCCCTATAATAAACACTGTCCTGCTCCTTGCGCCGATGCTGCCAACGCGGTGAGTAAAGATCTCGACTTGTTTGTAATTGGAACATTGAAACTAAAATTGTTAATAATATTTGTTAATACTCTTAATAATACGTGTCTGTATGTACGGATATTGGTCTTATTTTATTTTTCTCTCCTATTAACGTTAACTTTAAATTTTCTTGGATTTATTATTAATTTATTGCCATTATATACGCTCTCAAATTTGTATTTTGTTTTTTAATTATTTTTGTGTATTTCTATGTACTCGTGCTAACCTTGTAATTGGCCTCTATGCTGTTAGTTTGCATGTAAATAAACATGAATTGAATTGAATTATTATTATTATTATATGCTTGCTTACCTAAAGCGCAAAGACCAAGCTTTTAATGTTAATAACCTCACGTAACACTGGAAAACACAAAGAACACACTTGTCTTATGTAAAAGTGTACTCCATACTGGAATCCACGATATTCCCAGATCTACCGTATTCCCTGCAATACATTAATCTTATTTGCAGTCTGTTTTAATAGATGAAATATTAGCAGCACTCAAAATTTATAAGGTGAAGCGAGCAAGATTCACATTTCCGTTGCATTACAGTATAATGCGTGTTATCGAGTTGCAACAGAACCTGTGGGAAGATTAACGCTAAGCAACGTTTGATTAACGGCTTATGATATAAATGAAAATGTTCATTTATGACTTTGAGTAAAGTCAGTTTTTTATTGGTCAGAATTGCTGAAAATTGAAATTTTCCCAAAAAATTTTAGTGGTCCCAACGTCGTATTTAGAGAAATATGTATAAAGGTTTACGTGATGACACTAGTCGAAAGACTGACGGGCAGACATATTCTTCCCACAATGCATTCTTTTCTTACTTTGCAAAGAAAGCCTAATGCATTTGAATTTTCTGAATTTCATGCTCAAAGGAAAAGATTAAAATCACACTTCTCACAAGATGCTGTACTTAAACTAATCAATACACGGTATTACGGTCCCCTAGCCAGTGGTTTAGTAACACTTGGAGTCCATTAATCAGTAGCTACATAATGGCCGCTCTTCAAGCTCAATAATTTTGAAATATTATATACTTGTATTTCCATATTTCAAATTATTACAAAACATATTTCGCGAAGAAAACAGTGAGTGTAAAGACTTGAAAGAACGGGGAATATTAGAGAGAATTTTATAGCGAAGTTTAGTTCAATAATTTGAAGAAGATGTTGAATAATTAATCTTCCGTGCTATAATAATATACGTAATTAAGTTGTTATTAGTTTGCGTGTTGACTTAATTGTCCAAGGACCAATAACAATCCAATTGAATTAAATTCTTATTTACTTGCACACTTTACAGCCCAAATGCCAACTTGAAAGAGAGTGCGAGCAGACGAAAACAAACCAAACATACACAAACATAATTACAAACCAGGAAAGTTATGTAAAAAAATAATAATATTAATTCAATTCTCTATTATTTATATGCCGAGTCAACAGACGCAAGGCCAATTACAGACAGAGCACAGGGTAGATAACAAGTAATTTCATTATGGACAATCACGACATAAAGTCAAAGACAAATTGCAGGCAAAAACTGGAGGAAAACACAATAATGCAGACAAGTAACTCAAACAAACAGCAATAATATCAATAATAATAATTTCATTAACAAAATCTAAGTTGTTATTGAGAACTGAGAAATGAAACGTAAGAATATTTAATTGAGAAATGAAAAGAATAGATTTTCAGAGATGATAATAATAGTAATTCAGTTTAATTGTTGTTTATTGTACATGCAAATAATAATAATAATAATAATTCAGTTTTTATTATTTACATGCCGAGTCAGCAACTGCACGTACAACAATAGTAATAATTTGTATGAGCTTGTGGACTGAATCCAACTGGTCCGGAAGATCTGTTAATTGTTTCTTGTTGGTACTGTCATGGGTCTTCGAATTACATAATAAATTGGAGATTCTTGTCAAGCTGAGACACTATCAGCTTTTTAAGACATTCATGGAGCCGAACCCTTACTGAGAAGCCGCCAGTTGTGCATCTACTCAAGATCTTCCCAGCATTTTGCGGAACCCGAAAGTTCACTACCGTATTCACAAGAACCCTCCAATGGTCCCGATCCTGGGTTAGATCAATCCAGTCCATACCACCCGTCTTGGTCTTCCTAGTGGTCTCTTTCATTCTGGCTTTCCCACCAGTATCCTATATATATATTGTGACATGTTGCGCCAAGCCGAGCCCCCCCCCCACACACCAGCAGTGACGCGGCGGGTGAGTCAGCGCTCCCCTCCCCCTCCTCCGCACGGTAACGAAGCCCGCCCCGCCACTCCCCTCCGCGGTGACATCACGCGGTGACGCGGAACTGCTTCCTACTGTGACGTGGAACGTAACAGGCAATCCTGCGGCTATATAAGTGAGCTGCACAACTGGTACCAGAGAGTTCTAACGTGGCTACCAGCGAGTTGTACTGTAACAGTCGCCGAGTCGAGACGTAAAGTCAGCCAGTCAGTTGTATTGTGGCATTTGGAGTGTACTATTTGTGATACTGCAGATAGCAGTAATCGTCAGATTGTGATTTGGGGTGATTGTATGAGCGAATGTGAAATAAAATTCGCTATATCAAATACGGCGTGAAGTTATTTGTCGCGATATACGCCCGATACGCGACAATAAATATATATATATATACTCCTATTCTGCATCATTCATGCTACATGCCGTGCCCATCTCATCCACCTTGACTTGATCACTCTATACTTTGTGAAGAGTACAAATTATGAATCTATTTCTCTTTGTTACAGTTAGTCATTAAAATAAGTCTATTATTCAGGTGGACGTTAAGATAATATTTCCTTTGTTCATACCGCAAAGGCACCCCGTATGTACGTAGAATATTAACTTAAAATATCCGAGTTATTGTACTCAAAATTAATGGAGATTCATATTGCAGAAAAGGCAAAGCATTGGTGCTAGTGCCTATGAGAAATTACTATAGCTCCAGTATTTCTTAATTTTCAGCGCAAGATGGAGGTTGGTGCGATTCAAAAAACGGCAAATGTCTGGCCCTTAAACCAACTCCTGGAATTTGACTTCTTGTGGAGGTACATCTCTATGCTTTCCTAACTTTCGACACTGGATGCAGTTGAGAAAATTTAATAAGGTAAGGAGTGGTTTCTGTGATGTTACGAGCCTTTCCTGCTAATGCAGCTTGTTTTTGTGGGTTTGAGTTCTGCATGAAGTTTTTCAATTTTGTGGCACCTAACTATTGACCTTGCCGGTCACGGTATCCGAGCGGTCTAAGGCGTGCACTTTCTTCGCTCGCTCGGAAGCCGGGATCGTGCGTTCGAATCCCACTCAGGGCATGGATGTTTGTGTGCGTTTCTCTGTTTTTTTCTATAGGTAGAGGCCTTGCGACGAGCTGATCACTCGCCCAAGGAGTCCTACCGAATGTGTAAGATCTAGAAGGTAGGCCTAGGCCCACTGGGGCTGTAGCGCCAGGAAAAAAAAAACATTGCAATGGGATTTTCACTTCATCCCAATATGAGCATTGGCCTTTATAAAGGTATTCCTCCAGCCTTGCCTGAACTTAGATGTAAATGTGAATAAGGCTCCTTGGTAAGGAAGTAGATGTGTTTGTATGTGAGGGCTGTAGCTCCTGTGGATGACAGGAAACTTTCATAAAAGTAATTTCATAACGGCGACTTATGTTACCTTCAATTGTTAAGATGTGCTTTCGGTACGTTGGCAGCAGTGTCTGACAGAATCGCAGGAAACTCACGGTTAAATTATATTGGAAGAGCATCCCCGTTAAAACAACGTCACATAATATGGCGTTTGTGAATCTACTTCTCGCTCAGGTCTTTGAGAAATTCCCCATCTGAAAGGATCTGACGACCGCATATATCATTCAGAATTACTGGGTTCTTGGACTTCACCCATCGTCTGTTTTTTTAAGAGACTAGAGAATACAATGTTTCGGACACTGGATCTGTTTCCATCCTCATGTGGTGGGTGTATTTCAGCGCGATTGTAGTTGTATTGTAAACGAGTTATCTAATTAGCAGCTTCACCTAATCCGCAACCATTAATTAATTGTCACGGAACCCCGGACACGTGACAATATCATCACAAACGCCTTTCACTGACCACATGAATGAAGTTATCTCTGTTTCTTTGAGGTCCGTTTTAATATTATTCGCACATCTGCGCCCATTGATTTTATTACATTTCTCGTCACTAAAATTAATGTTAATTTTCCACCTGTTCCATGCGTTCCATTTGCCCTGACCATTTCATCGTATTTGATTTTAATAACCCTAAAAACATATTTTGTAACTTATGAAGGAATCTCTCGGCCTACAGAAAAAAAAAGTGAATATTACTAACGGATTTTCTCAATTAATTTTTAGTTTCGATAAGCAGTAAGATATTCCAAAAATGAGATTACAGTATCCATAAGCTGCTCTCTTGCAAACTTGATCATATGATAAGATCTGAAAAAGATGAACTCTGAAGCTCAAATGATGCAATGAGATATTCTCGTGTAGTACAAATGTACTGGTCTCAAGCATCGCAACGTTTTGTACGTAGGTTTGACAGCCTCTACGTAATCCCTCCATAATCACGGAATATTGTATGCCTGTTATTTTCATAGTGAGTTGTACTGTTTGAAGTGATGCACATCAAACGTGCAGTGACAGGGGGTTGAGCTCACGACTGCCGGGGTGACTTGCATCTACCTGATGAACTTCGCCCTATTTTGTTTTTGCAATTCAAAACTCAGACTAAACCTGCCCCAAACTAGTCCGTAATTCCTAGCATCTTGCCACGGGATACTGACATGCAGAACTCATAATTACTTTCGTACGACACGGATTTCTTGTCATATTTGATCTACTATAAACCCATTGTTGTAATATCGTGTAATTAGGAGATAATCCGACGTTTCGGAGAAATATGTCTCCTTCATCTTCTAGGTTCAGAGAATAGAAGAGGCAAGAAACCAGAAGCGGCAAGCTTACATGTCTTATTGTTCGACCATGAAGATGGATGCGATATTTCATACGAAATATTAGACTTTCTTCTAAGTACAACCGCTACAACCAAAAGACCCTAATTTTCATATTCACCTCCGTAAGAACTCATTTCAAACAATATTGCTATCAAGTAAATCTATCCCTGTAACAGGCCGGGAAATCCATAGGATTCCGAGACGTCGAGGCTCACACATTTTGTAGACAAACAGTTGACAGATGGCAGTAAGAGTGTCAACCTTACGCCTCGGTCGCTCTTTATCCACAGGAAGAGTCCTGGTACTCATTTATGTTAGAGGATGAGTCGACTCCAGGGTCATAGTGCAGCTGGAAGGATTACGTAAATTGAAAAATGCAATGACTTCATCGGGAATTGAACCCGCGGCTTTCAGGCTTGCATCATAATGCCTTCACCAAGTCTGCTACCGCGTGCCTCACATTATTACTATTATTTTGTTAAACCTAATTACCTACTTAATGTTTCTCTCTCGCTGATCTTGTAAATAAACTCAAGGGTTTTGCAATGTCGCCATATTTGTATTAATTCGAAATAATTCTTAGTTTTGAGTGAATATCTGGTCTTCAGATTGGATAACTGATCGGTACAGTGGCAACAAGTCCGCGAATTAATAAGCGTTTATAAGATCTGTTTATGTTATATGATTTGAATTAGTGAAGGGTAAGGCTGGAAGATCGGACGGAACTGCGGGCCTCGGATACAGCCTAATCAACTTAACTCTTTTCATATGGAACATGAAATGAGATACTGGTTCTTCATGAGGAATATGATTGCTTTCTTTGTCAGTATCACGGTATATAATAGTTAACTTTTTAAAGCAGGAATATCATTTAAGAATAAGAATTAAAATTTACTGACCAAATTACAGCAGAAAAATTGACAATGAGGATTCTCAGTCTTCATTAGTCGTATCCTGGTAACGGAATTAAAATAATCTCACTGTGACTAAATCTTTTAAACCCACGCCAAGTCTTCACAGGCTGACTTCTAATGCTTCTTCAACTACCAACTTCTCCTACCGACAACTCCATTGTACTCCTTCAGTTCTCAGTCTCGTACTCTCTGTTCTACTCCTTGTACTCCTTGTACCCTTCCGTACTCCTACAGCTGCTAGCGTTAGAACTCGACTCTCTTATATTTCCTTAGCACGGACTACGCAGCACAGAAAACACAGCCCCTATATTGTGGTAGATGCGTGTTATAACGCAGTTGCTTAGCATACACGTCTCGGCGCGGACCAGGTAGAAAACACCTTTCATTCTTGTCGCATATTTTTATAGCCACGTGTTTATTGGTCCAGTACCCAGTAACTGATGTCCTTCTATTATTGAGTATTGTACGCATTGTCCAATAACGGCTGTTTACAAAGAATCTGTCTCCGCGGTAATGTGTTGAGCGATCTGTTGCCTAGCAATGGGTCGATTGGCAAGATTAATACCTTTGGATGTTCCTTATTAGACTCGGTGAAGGTAACAAGTAAAGGAGGAGACATAGTAGTTACCCTTCTGTTTATATTGAATGACAAGTGATAAACGGTGAACTGTGTCTGTTAGGAGATGTATCGTATCCTTAGACTTTGCAATGTAGAAAAATTTCGAAGGAATATTCTGTAATTATTTTGAGAGGGGGGTTTATGTTCATGCCCTTTCGTAAGTTTTTAGTTTATTCATTTTGTACAGTGTTCAGAATATTGTTAGTATATAGGAAAATGTGGTATTATGGGGTACAAATTTACATCTTATCATCACTCACTCACTCACTCACTCACTCACTCACTCACTCACTCACTCATGGAGCTGAACCCTTCTTGAGAAGCCGCCAATTGTGCAGCTACTCAAGAACTTCCCAGCATTTTATAGAATCTGAATGTTCATTGCCATGTTCACAAGAGCCATCCACTGGTCCCTATCCCGAGCCAGAGCAATATAGTCCATACCACCCCATCCCATCTCTCTAAGATTCATTTAATATTGTTCACCAACCTACGCTTTGTCTTCCCATTTGTCTCTTTCCATCCGTCTTCCCCTTCGATATGTTTATGCATTTAGGCTAGAATTAAATTAAATTATATGTTAACATATAATCAGAAAAATTTTCGATTTTTTCTTCATGTATAATTTACAAGAAAAACCTTACAGAATTATATTCTGTGATTCATTTCTTTTAGAAGTCATGTAGTGAGGTTAATATAGAATATACTTAATGGTAAGTATTACTGCTGTAATATAAATGAATTCAAATTTCTCTACATACGTGTTATATTCAACAAGTATTCATTGTGTGTAATAATGTTAAAATAATGTTAAAATGACGTCAATCTGATACCTTGAAATAATGTGTATTAAGGTGTTAGAAACTATTATAATATTATACATTACTATTCTAATTAAAACAAAATTACCTAATACACCACCCAATGACGATTCATCTGATTATCATAATAGTGCAGTTGGAGAGTTCAGAGAACTTGCAATGCGTTTTCCCACTAACCAGAGGAATTTCTGTGACATCGTTTGTTTGTTTGTTTCATATCGCCCGACATTCCCCCGATAACGAAATTAAGAGACAGGAACTTTATTGCGTTCTTGCAAATGAATTTACACAAAATACCCAAGATGAGAGGAAGTTTTCTCAAAGAAAAATATATATTGTTTTAATATGTGTCAGTTACTCACATTAGAGAGCGTCGAAATATTTTATGACAGTGAAAAGAATTGGAAAAAAAATGTGGAAAAGAACGGTTATGTCACGTTAGTGGCCAGCAAATAATTTGAGAATTTTGCCTCAGCTACCATCTGTAATGTGGATCTCTAATTGAAAATATTTATGTACGGTCACAGTTGACAGTCCCAAATGAAATATTTTCATATTAATTGTTTTCTGTTAAGTGTCCACTCCCCTCCCGTTCTCTCCCGTTCCCTTGAGTAACACAGAACGTAAGGCATGCCTATAAAATGGCGACCAAAGTGCTAAGTCTGTCTCCAGAGGTACTGAGAAAATCCTCAGGATGGTTAGTGACCCGGACTGGATTCAAACCGGATGCGAATAGAAGTCACAAGCTTTACCGCCTGGGCCTATCGGTGTACATATTTACGTAGCCCCATATTT